TCCTCCCTTGGTCAACTAATAACCTCACATGGCTTCCAATACCATCTCTATGCGGATGACACTCAAATTTATCTTTCCACTCCACAACTCTCCCCCTCAGTGTCCTTGCGTGTCACTAATCTACTAAATGACATATCAGTCTGGATGTCACAACATTTCTTAAAACTCAACCTTTCAAAAACTGAGCTCATGATATTTCCTCCACCCCGTGCAACTTCCCCCAACATTTCAGTTGTGATTGATAACACAACTATCCAAACCTCCCCTCATGCCAAGGTCCTAGGTGTCGACCTTGAGGTCCTTGATTCGGACCTCACCTTTCTTCCCCACATCCAATCGCTATCCAAATCCTGCCGCCTTCACCTTCGTAACATCTCAAAAATACGCCCCTTCCTCACCAATGACACCGCAAAACTACTCATACACTCCCTTGTTATCTCTCGTCTTGACTATTGTAACTCCCTCCTCATTGGCCTTCCACTACACAGGATATCCCCCCTTCAGTCTATCATGAATGCAGCTGCCAGACTCATTCACCTTACCAACCGCTCAGTGTCTGCATCCCCCCTCTGCCAATCCCTCCACTGGCTTCCACTCGCCCAGAGGATAAAATTCAAAATATTAACAGTCACCTATAAAGCCATCCACAACTCTGCCCCCGGATATATCTCAGACCTTGTCTCAAAGTATCACCCTAAACGTCCCCTCCGCTCATCCATTGACCTCCTGCTTTCCAGCTCCCTTGTCCACTCCTCCCATACTCGCCTCCAGGACTTCTCTAGAGTCTCTCCCATCCTCTGGAACTCCTTACCCCAACCTGTCCGTCTATCTCCCACCTTGACTGCCTTTAGGCGTTCCCTAAAGACTCATCTCTTCAGGGAAGCCTATCCCACCTCAACCTAACCACTGAACCTTCACATTCTCACATAATTCATTCCCACAGCTACCTCATGTATCATTTCCCCCTCCTCTTTTAGATTGTAAGCCCTCAGGGGCAGGGCCCTCCTTACCATCTTGTCTTGAATTGTATTGTAACTGTAATGTCTTCCTTATATTGTAAAGCGCTGCGCAAACTGTTGGCGCTATATAAATACTATGTAATAATAATAATAATAATGATTGTATGTGTTTGGGCAAAAATGTAAAACAATGCTTTGCTGGGCAATGTATATTTGTTTATGTATGTTTATTGATCTGGATTCATTATTGAAAAAAAGTTTGAGAGTTTAATACTACTTTAAGTGCTCATTTTCGTCTAGGTGCTAAATAAGTTATACTCACCCAAACTGCAGAGCTGGCTGCCAGCCTCTCTGGTCCCTGAAGCCCGTTTCCTCCTCCGTTGCAGCGTTTGGAAGATTTCCCCTGTTCTGGTGGCAACTCCATATTTTGGATTTACCTTCACTTTGATTCCCGTTGACTTTGGTGATCAGGACAATGAGAGGGAGCGAATCTCCCCCTAATGTGGCCAGAGACGGCAATAAAAAACAATGGTTCTGACCCCTTCACCTTTCTATACATATTTTAAAAAGTTTTGCCTTTTAGTTATACGTTTATGTACTGTAAACGCAGTTACTAAAATCTCATATAAGCTAACACGTTTATATATTTTTTGAAAGGCATTTTCAATCTTTTTTTTAAGTCTGAAGCTTTCGTTGAAATTATATCCGGCGATCCTGCCATAAAGGTCCTTATTCACTTTTCTGTTATAAGGTGAGAAAGTAGTCTGTTTTGCAGCTGATGAAGATCTATGTTTGCGTCCAGTAAATACAATAACCCACATTTAACTATTGGACGTTTTTACACGGATGATTTCTGCACTTAGTAATGATAAACCAGTTTTGTTAAAACAGCAAATTGCAGCTGAGAAAAGGTACATGTTATATCAATCTTTAGCACAGGTGGGCATATTGTTTATAGAGTAATTGGATCAAGTGTGCAGCACAATATATGTGGGCACGTCAAATATCATTATAACAATCCATTGCACAGTTGCCCGGTATAGGGTTAATACTTATCTTGGCTTGTCCAATTCTAAAGGTGCCCATACGCCTTACGAAAATCGGCCGATTTGACGGGCAGTGTGCAACCGCAAATACTGTACAATCGATCGACTTTTGACTAACCAGCAGGTTAGAAAACTTCGGTCGATCGTACGATTTTCGCAAGTTTGGTGGCGTTTCCGTAACGTCAAAATTCGTACGATCTACTCTGCACATGCACAGACGAAAATACAAGTGGTCAATTACCGCAATTCCTCCAGCTGCTTTCTTCTCATTACCACTTATCGAACCTTGCGATAATCGGGGCAGGATGGGGCCGCCGTGCGAAAATCGTACGACGGTTCGATCATCGGATGAAAAGTTTCGTCCGATGATCGCAAGGTGTATAGGCAGCTTTAGCGAGAGTTTGGGTGGGTGAAAAATGGATACCACATACAGTATATTCAACACTGAACATTTTCTTTTTGCTCCCTGTCTGTTCTGTTAAATATACTACTGAAAGTGTTTTTTTTTTTTATATCTGTTCAATAAGTGAACAAAAATACCAGTTGATCCTGCCAGAAATCTTGTGTGCTGATAACGTCTGTGTTTTCTGCCTCTGCTGCACTCCTATCAAATAAATTCATTCCTGCACTCTCTGTGGACTACAGAACACCTCCTCCCTATGTTATCATGAAGAAGAGAGGGAAGGTGTTCATTGCCTTTCTTAGGGTGACAGCACTGCTTCTCCATAGATATACTATGGTGAGTAGGTGTTTACACTCACAGAAATGTTCTGCAGGATGACAGGTGAAAATAAAAGGAAAAACACTGAAAAAAGAAAACTAATGCAGCTACCACACCTAAGGACTGGTAAGCTGCAATATATTACTTTTATGTTCTTTGTTATAGATGTGCTGTACTATGTCCCAATGTTTTGTTTATTGAGGTTGGTAAGTAGGTACATTAGATCCCAACTAGTATATGAGTAAGGCTATGTTAATTATACAGTAGTTTAAAGTAGTATTAAACTCTCAAACTTGTTTCAGTATTGAATTCAGATCAAACAAATATACATTGCTCAGCAAATTATTTCTTTCTGTGAACAGCTGGCTTCAACTCTCTTATCTCTGCTTCCCTGAACTTCCTGTGCAGTACAAGATCACAGGGGACAGAGCAGTCTGCAGCAGTCATCCATCTACTAGCTTGAAGAGGAAGGAAGGGATCTGTTAGTGTCTTGCATTGCTTTGTCTGTATGTTTGTGGAGACAAACACAGCTTACTAGCACACACAAATGGGTGGCTCCACAGGACCCTGTAAGGGAAAAGAATCGCCCTAAAAGAGGATATCAGGGCCAGTGCTGAGAGGACCAGATAATTCTACAGGAAGCTAAAACATTTAAACATCAAGGAGCAGCATCCATTGTACATGATCAGCATTTGAAATAGCCTAAAAACATTTTCACTTTAAAGTATGGCCTTATAATAAAGTGAACTTCTAAAATAAAAAGCAGAAAAAATGCATTTAGTTTAAATGTCTGGTGTATTTATCTACTTTGTGTGAGTTGCATTGCGTTTATATTTCTGTATGCATGCTTGTTTGCACCTCCATGTATTAAGGAATATGTGCAGCACTTACTAGAGTGACATATTTTTTCCTATTCAAATCAAAGGCTGTATGACAGAGAGAAATCAACAGAGCCCACTTTCTGTGCTTTTATTAATGTTTATCCTTATCCGCACAGCTCTGGCATTCCATTTGATTGGCTTTATCATGTATGGTTTTGTTTCCAGCAATATCTCTCTGCTTTATGGTGCTGACAATTTTCAATTAGAATAAACAAGTGTAACATTTCTGTAATATGATAATGTTGCTTCTCTTTCTTCACAGTCCATACATTATAAACGAATATATGGGTATCAGGAATGAGAGCTTTATGAAGGTAGCAGCAGTTGGAACGTGGATGGGAGACTTTGTGACAGCCTGGATGGTGAGAGAACTTTCACACTTGTAACTACCTGAAAATGTGTTTATTGCCTTGATCCAATATAACGTTTATAACCACAAGTGATCCAGTTACATGTACTTTCTAAAGGTAAGTTGTGTTTGGGTAAGAGGTAAAATAAATCTTTCCTCCCGGAACCTTTGCCTAGAGCTAGCCATACACATATAGATTTTCTCTCATTAGCCTGCGGGCTGTATGAGAGAAAATCACTCAATTCCCTAATTCTCCAAACAGCGCGGACAGAGGAATAACCACTGCTGGCCACCTGTGGCTGCCTAAACACCATAAGGCCCCTAGCACACGGGCACTGTCAGTTCAGATCGGCAGGGGATCCAAGCACGGATCCCCTGCTGATCGGAGCAGTACGGAATAAAGGTCACCATTGTGACATCCGTGTCCGTCCAGTTTTTTGTCTTCATTATTAAAAAGCAGAACTTACCAGACCCATGTCTGGCCTACAGAGTCAGATGTACAGTAAGTGGATGTGTCCATTTACATCATATTACCCCTGATCCGTCATGATCAGGTCCACCAAAGTAGAACTTCATTTTGTTTTTTTTGTGGACCTGCTGGAGTCAAGGGTAATCAGATGTAAACGGGCGCATGTCCATTTAGATCTAGCTGCCCTTAGAGTAAAATTGGGCTCCCGATCAGATCCACCTGAAAAACCAACAGACGGAACTGATGCCCATGCAGTCACTAATCAGCTGGTAATTTTTCATCTGATTCAGTTGATTTTTATATCAACTTATGTCAAGCTAGATGGTGCTGACAGGGCCACTCAAAGCTAAAATTATGGCCAATTCAGCAGAAATTGGGCAAAATTCAATCTGTGCATAGCTGGCTTTAGTCTATATTAATTGTCAAAGACCATGCTGCTTGTGGTCTATTCCCTAATGGTGAGAAGTCCAGGTTGCTGTCTGTGGCCACTGGTCTTGCGACTGATTAGTTATTGATGTAGGTTCTTATCATGATAACCACTAATTTCTATAGGAAAGACTATTTAAGCCATAATAATAACAATAATTAATACGGTATGATCTCATTAAATAGGTTCCAGGTTCATATCTATGGGGCACAAGACTCTGGACATAAGTGTGCCTACATTTACTACATTCCCATTTTAATGTTACCGGGTGACATTGTCTAAAAACCTCTTTGCTATAAAAGAACATCTCCATCTGCACTTTGGGGTCAAAGAGCAGCAAAAAGTATTCTACCTGCAATTGCTTTCTCTTCAGGTTTTTGTTGCTGCCTTGTCCCCGCTGTCTTGTCCCCTTGTGTGTCAGGGTTTCATCAGGACAGGAAGTGAGGATACATTTCTCCAAAGGGGAGACAAACTGCATTAAAGCTGGTATCTGCCAAATGCAGTGCCTGAGCAGCAGAGGTCTGACTGGTGGAGGGAAACACAGAACAAGAGGGCAATCAGTTGTACTGCAGTGTAAGAAACATGTTGATTAGATCTGTGGAGTTGTCATCTTTATACAGTATATCTTTTTCCACAGTCAATAGGATCAATGTAATCTCATACTGTCACTTGGTGGTCCTGATTCCCCCATATTATACCCCATTTGATCCCTCCCAGAAATGCCTCCTTTTGACTCTATATATTTATTTTATACATTTCCTTTATATCTCGCAAAGAAGCAGATTTATGTAAAACATGTTGAGAAAGTGACCCTGCCCCATTGTATGATGCAGCTGAATGCCAGAATAGTTGATGAACCTATGTCTAGGAATCTGGAAATGTGTAAACTTGTTTAAACAAGGGGAAATATAGGACATATATATAGGGATATGCTGAAGGTATATGTATGTATGTATCTCCACGTGTATTAACAATAGGGCTGCAACAACCAATCGATTACATCGATAATAATCGATTATGAGAATAGTTGGCAACTATTCTCATTATTGGTTAGTTGATTGGGGGGAAGAGAGAGAGAGAGAGAGAGAGAGAGAGAGAGAGAGGGGGTTAGAGTTTTTTTAATGCAACCAATCGATTCGTTGAAAAAAAATCGGGCAACTAATCGATTATGAAAATAATCGTTAGCTGCAGCCCTAGCTAACTATGTTTCTAATGTACTTAAATTGAGCTTTTAATCTGTAAATAATAAAATATCTGTTTTATATTTCTGGTTTGGCTGATTTCATGGCACTGTGAAAGTGCCTGTGTATTATAGGTCTGTTTTGGTCTCATATAGATTTTGGAATGTGGTACTTTCAGCCATTGAGACATACATTCCTGTCTCATGGAAGGAGCATGCTGATGGAAGGGGAGAGTAGAGTGATGGAAAGAGAAGCTCAGTCTGCTGCTTATCAGTTTACATTTCAGTCAAACAGTAGTGGTGGGTAGAAGTGTTACTGAAATGCAGCAGAGAAAAACTCATGTGTCCTGCCCTGCTAGACTGGGCTGTGCTGAGTGGCAGAGCTGTGTAAATCTCATAACTAGATATACAGAAATATAAGTCCTTTGGCAGATAGAACAGCTCCTTTACATGTATTTAATCCATGTACTCTGCTGTTTGCCTGGAGTTCAGCCACGTGGCTGTGGCTTTAAAATTATTATACAATCAATATTGGCGTTACTGACTGTACCAAGATATTTCAAAGAAGGGTTACATCTTGGAAATGGCAGCACATCATTTCACCAGATTCATATTTCACCTGTGATCTTACTTTCTGACATTTTCTTTGGGCTGAAATGTCATCCTCTTTATTAGCCAATTGCTGTATAATAGATCAACAACTAGTTATCATTGCCCGATGTTGTAGAAGATTAAGCAATTGGATGGAGAGTGTAAGATGTACGTTTGATGAAATCTTTATTTTCAGAAATTACTCAAACTGGAAATGAAGTGATGTTATGTTTCTATGAAATAGGTACACTGTGATATTTCTGAAGGACTTTTAATATTGTGATTGTGTGCATAATTGGGCGTTCCGGCAAAAAGAACCTGTTCTACCATAACAGGTTTGTCTAAATAAAATCATTTGAAAATATTTGTTTGCTTTATTGCTGGTATGGTTATTGCTTAAAGCAGATTACATTTATTGCTTTTTTTTAAAAATGACTAAATCTGATTCTCACTGTTTTTCATTATTTTTATTTAGCATCATCGTGTCACGTGCTCAGTATTGTGACATTGCTGCATACCGCTTAGCTGTAATTAATTCTACAATATTATGGTGTAATCGCCCCTTTCCAGCTTCTCTACTTCCTGATAAAATCCTTAAAGTGGAACTGGAGAGTAAGCAGTTCTTGCTATAATATACAAGTATGAACAGCATATACACATTATAGAAAACACACAAGTTTTCCCTTCTCCAGTTCATCTCCCACCACTTTAACCTTCACTGTCTCTTTCTTCTCCACTGCTTCTTCGGGGCTTGGCATCCCCCCAACCCTTCGGCCATTGGACAGCCAGTGGTTAAGTAAATCCTGCACATGCATGCTGGAGTTACATCATCCTGGCACCTGGCTCAATTCTCAGCACCTCACAGAATGTTGGGGATATCCTCTCCATTGTGCATTGTGGCAGTGTAAGCCAATGCCACGGTGGAGGATGGCGACCTTGGCACCCAGGACTCTCAGCCAAAGGGGCTGAGAGGGTCCAGAAAGTAAAGCAGGTTATAAGGAAGAACCTGGCTTTTCAGGTTATTCCAGGTTTTCCTATTTTCAGCTGGGATCTGGAGCTCTGGAGATTTCGTAGAGCTCTGGGTGGGATGAGATCTCCAGTCCTGGGGCCAGGTGTTGCCATTGACCAGCCTGGGCTAATCAGGTGGCTGAGAGCAGCCTTATCAGGAAGCCAGCCCAGTGTTCAAGAGAGTGTTGGAGTTGTGTGTGTGCAGGGAGCACACTGACACAGACCACCTCGGGTGCATGCTAGACGCACACGGAACAGCCAGGGGTGACTGGGAGAGGTCAGGAAGGTCGGTGACCCTAGGACCTGCGGTACAGTCTGCTAAGAGAGCAGAGTGAGGGCTCACGAGGGGTGAGCAGCGTGCGTGTCTTGTAGCTGAGGAAAGCTACAGAGCCATAACAAGGACTGTCTTATGTTGCTGTTTCAAGCTATTTTGTGTTTGCCCTTTCAATAAACTGTGTTTCCTTGACTTACCTGGACTACAGTGGAGTGTCCTTGTTACAGCATGTGCCACAGCCAATATACTCTGGGAAGAGACTCTACTTTCTAGCATTAATGTGGCACTTTAAGTCTGACTGAGCTGAGAAAATGAATCACAGAACATAAAGCCACCGACACAGTATCTGCTGATGATACAAATGGTGACTTGGATTATGTCCCCATGATGAGAGAGGACAGGCTGCTGGGACAATCTCCTTGGATATTGGGACAAAGGGTTAAAGAGGCTTGACCTTCTTCTGAAGTTTTCTCTTCAATGGTCAAAGTTAAGGCTGTAGTAGCAGTGTAGGGCTGTGCTGGCACACTCAGGAGGTTTTTCAGTTTACCAAAGGTAATAGCAAGCATCTTCAGGTGCTTGCTTTCAGGTAGTACTTTTACAGGGTTATTCACAAAAGGGTGACGAGTTTGGAGAAGGCAGGAGGAGTGAACAATCTAGGACAGTGATGGCGAACCTTTTTGAGCCGGAGTGCCCAAACTGGATCACTAAACCACCTTATGTATCTCAAAGTGCCAACCCTTCAATTAGACCTGAGTACTCTCAGGGGGGCTCTGGAGTTCTGAGGTGGTCTGTACGGGCTCTCAGGGGGGCTGTGCGACTCTCAGGTGGGTTCTGTGGGGTCACTGGTGGTCTGTACAGGCTCTCAGGGGAGCTGTGCAGCTCTCAGGCGGTCTATTATGGCTTTTGGGTGGGCTCTGTGGTCCCTCAGGTGGTATGTATGGGCTCTCTGGGGGGCTGTGCGGCTCTCAGGTGGCCTATAAGGGTTTTCAGGTGGGCTCTCAGGTGGTCTGTTTGGGCTCTCTGGGGGGCTATGCGGGCTCTCAGGGGGGCAGTGTGGCTCTCAG